TCCTTCCTTCCTTCCTTCCTTCCTTCCTTCCTTCCCTCCTTCTTTCCTCCCTCCCCCCTTTCCTTCCTTCCTTTCTTTTCTAGTCATAGTCACCATCCCAGTTGATGTGAATTGGCACTTAACTAATTTTAAATGCAAATTGACTAGGACGGTTAGATCTTTTCCCCCCAGTGTATACTCAGGGAGCCATTGGGATCTCCTTCTCACTTTGAGGAAGAATCTTCACGAAGATCTAAGAGCCCAGGGAAGTAAGGAGCAGAGAGTTTACGTGGGGGGCCCTCAGCTTCGAGTCTGCTGCATCCATTCTTTCTAAATGAAAACGTTTGGTGATCTAGTGGGTTCCTTATGCCCCCACTATTTGCACTGGAGTTTTTCAAGTGCTCTTCTTTCCCTACCCCATCTGGTGCCTCTCTCAACCTGTTGAAATAAGTGTCATCCACATTTTCCAGAAGAGGCTGTTAAGGCACAGGTGAGTGAAATGACACAGCTAGATAACCACCCAGGACAGTGAGCCCCTAACCCCTCACCTCCCACACCTGTGAAAAGTGACAATTTTTTTACTGTTGGTGGGGGAGGGAGGGGTGGGGCGGGCTGGGAAGACAGAGATGGGATTCATGATTTGAGAGAACTTCAGGGAGAATCCTCTCTCGTGTCCTGCATGGTCAAATTGCATATACGAAGTTTGCTGAGTGTGGGTTTTTTTTGAAAAATAAATTGCTTTTCCATAGAACCCTTTGCTGTGTAGTCGGGTGTCCTAAGACACGCCCTTTTGAGCCTGGGGGTGAGATGTCAGATTTCTCCGGAGCCCTGGGTCGGCGCCTGGGTTGCGATGAGCACCTCTGGTCTCGGGTTTTCTTCCTGAAGCCATGAGTGAGCCCTGAAAGCTCTGTCTGACCCCATTTGTCATCCGACGTCCCGAGCACGTGTGTCCGGCCTCAGATTGGGCGAGGGAAGGCACTGGCAGTGAGTGGTTTCACTGACCTCGGCGGCCGGGCGGTCTGCTCCCCGCCGCAGGGCCGCTCTGCCTCTCTGGGCCTCTGCGCCTCCCCCTGCGCGGTGGCGGAAGGTGACCTTGTGTCCCTGGAGCCACCATGAATGTGGTTCTTTTTCATATTTATTTTTGTACCATGTTTTTTTTTAAATTTTTAAAATGAAGCAACGAGAAACAGAACTGCTATTCCTGTGGCTGGGGTGACAGAACAGGATCGTCCCAAGCCAGGAGGCTTTCTTCTCTATAGGGGAGTTGCCACCCCGTGACCCCTGCCCGCGACCCTTCCTCCTCTGGCTTCACACCGGGCGTGTGTCGTGGCCCCAGGGTCACGCAGGGGGAGTTTCTCTGAATCGAAGGGAATCTGTGGCCACTGGCCAACCGGTTGGGAAATATAGATGTTTGGGTTTTTAATTAAATTTCCGAAATGGGAACCAGGAATGTGGTTAACCAGGGAGCTGAGATGGCCCTGGCTTCTCATTCCACCCCGGCCACTGGGCTTTTCCACCTTTCCTGGAATTGCTTTCCTCTTTCACCCTGGCCCCCGTTTCCCCCCCTTGCCCAGCTCCTTCCCTCTTTTCCAAACGTTTGTCTCTGCCCTTGTCACCCTGGGCAGCTGTCTGTAAGACACTGACGTGGGGGAGATGCTTGTATGGCCGCATTCACGGGTCAGATTGGCCGTTGGATGTCGCCTGTCCCCTATACTAGGAAGCAGCGCTGTTCCTTCCACATCTCCACGTAAGGGATCCACCAGCCAGCGCCGGCAACCGGGAGCGCTGTTATGCTGGGAAGAGAGAGAAGCCAGCCTCGAGCAGATCAGAGCGGGAGGTCCAGAGCCCGTTTTCCTTGGTCCCCACCGCCCTGGGTGTGGACACTCTCATCTCTGACATCTGGGGCGTAGAGAATTTAAGGAACATCCTTAACGCCCCAAAGCTTTGAAGGATGGAGTCACGGTTCCAACCCAGGTCGCGGTGCATATGCCCAGCACTGGGGCCCCGTCCCGCCCCAGTCACCAGCGCATGTGTGACCTTGTACAAGCCACTGAGCCTCTCTGCGTTCAGTTCCTCATCCATAAAAGAAGGGTATTTCTAGGTGGGTCACTGTTCGCTGCAAGTTTCAGAGAAAGCAACTCTAACTGGCTTTAAGCAACGAGTCTGGGGGTGTCCACCTAGCCGTGGAGTCTACAGCGAGTCTGGGGGTGTCCACCTAGCCGTGAGGTCTACAGCGAGTCTGGGGGTGTCCACCGAGCCGTGAGGTCTACAGCGAGTCTGGGGGTGTCCACCGAGCCGTGAAGTCTACAGCAAGTCTGGGAGTGTCCACCTAGCCGTGAAGTCTACAGCGAGTCTGGGGGTGTCCACCGAGCCGTGAAGTCTACAGCGAGTCTGGGGGTGTCCACCGAGCCGTGAAGTCTGGGTGTTGTGCTTTGGGGGGATTTTGCTGGCTCTTCGTTTGTCTCCACTTCTTTTCCTTCTTGGCTTTACTTCCCTAGTGGAAGCAGAAGGAGCGGAAGCGTCGGCAGGCCCCCTGCCTCTGCAGACCCAGCAGATGCAAGAGGATGCCTGTGGCTCAGCACCCCCGAGGGACGGCCCTGGAAGCGCGCTCACCCTTGGACCCGTCCCTGGGGCCAGGAGGTGCAATGCCCCGATCGTGTCCTGTGCTCACGTGCCTCACACCTGGGTCTGTGGGTGGGGGCAGCCTCCCTCCCCAGGGCCGCGGGGATTCTGCAGACTGGGGCGGGAAAGATGCAGAGAGACAACACCAGATGTTTGCCGTGGACGGATTGGGCTACTGGATAATACAGCAGAGCGTCTTACGGTAGGGGCAGGTATTGATTCTGTTTACCTGTGGATACGTGGGGCCTGGGAGAGCGCAGGGCAGGTGGATGCTCAGTGAACGTCGATACATGAATGAACCTCAGCAGTTCTTTCCTCTGAATTTCTGAACATGAGGGTCCATTTTTTCTTTTTCCTTTTTTTTTGGCCACACTGCGCGGCACGTGGGAATCTTAGTTCCCCGACCAGGGGGCGAACCTGCGCCCCTGCACTGGAAGCACGGAGTCTTAACCACTGGACCCCCAGGGAAGTTCCGAGAGTCTGTTTTTTCAAGGGACTTAGTGTCGCTCCATCGGGGAGTTGGGAAGCCCAACCTCCGGGTGCATCGCCCACAA